TGAGTCACGAGATTCCACTGGGGCAGGCTTGGGGCCAAGTTCAGTGGCAATGGAGAGACTCCAGAGCCCTGCGCTTGGCTCTGCTCTCTTCCTCTGTTCTGTGTTCCTGCCGCCTATGCACAGACAGACAGATAGACAAGGACAGGCAGACAGCTAAAACACCCAAAAGACACACATTTACATAGATACCTAGCAAGACAGACAGGCAGACAGACATCTAGTAGACAGGCAGACATAAACAAATACACAAAAACAGTCACACAGATGTATGTACAGACACACAAGCCAACAGGCACACAAGTATAGGCAAAACAATACACTGGCAGACAGACAGACTCGTAATTGACAAACATCCAGCTAGATACACAGACACCCAAATTCACAGGCACATAGCAGACAGAAACACACACACACACACAAGGAGAAACACTCCACAAACACAGTACTCAAATACACATGCATGCACACGGAAACACACACACACAACACAGATTCACACTGGTAGACTACAGAGGGTGATTTTGGGCAAAGGACAGCCCAGCAGCTCCCAACCCTCACCCCCAGACCCCAAACCACATTGAAGCTGGTCCACACAGGTGGGCACCCTGGGCATGAGCCCTTCTGAAGGCAGCCTCCATCTCTCATACTAAGGATATGACATTTAGCAATACTGAGGGGCCCACCTTGCTGCAAGATAAAAGGTGGTTAGATATGAAAAGGGACTTCCCAATCGGGAGGATGTTGAGACCTGTAGTGAGTGACTAAGGATAACTGAGGGAAGGGAATGGAATGATGGGGAATAGAGAGCCTGTGGTCTGGCTGTGTTCCTCTTATGAGCCTCAGGTTCTCATTTAGGTTTTGTCCTCCCAAGTCCTTGCAGAGAGCAGATGGACTAGCTCCCTGAGTATTGTCAGTGCCTGTGCTGGAGCCCCAGGACATTAACTCGCCCCCTGCACCACCATCACCAGGGCAGGACTCCCTTGGTGGCTCATGCCCAGTGTCCCATGGCAGGGGGTAACCCAGCCACAGATGCTCCTTGTCCTGGTTTCCCTCCCCTCCCCCAGGGCCAGCCAGCTGAGGATGCCCTCTAGGCTGGGGGAGGGGTGCAGGAGGCCAGTGGGGGGGG